AGGAGGTGAAGTGGAGTGAGTGAGGGCTGGATGGGTACATGAGATGGAGCTTATGGAGGTGAAGTGGAGTGGGTGAGCTGGATGGGTTCATGAGATGGAGTTATGGAGGAGGTGAAAGTGGAGTGAGTGAGGCTGGATGGTACATAGAGATGGATTATGGAGGAGGTGAAGTGGAGTGAGTGAGGCTGGATGGGTACATGAGATGGAGTTATGGAGGAGGTGAAGTGAGAGTGAGTGAGGCTGGATGGGTACATGAGATGGAGTTATGGAGGAGGTGGAGTGAGAGTGAGTGAGGCTGGATGGGTACATGAGATGGAGTTATGGAGGAGGTGAAGTGGAGTGAGAGTGAGGCTGGATGAACACTCTTGTAGCGTGCTATCCTGAGGACACACTTCACTTGCAACAGTGACCTTAACACCATGTTGCAAGAGACGAGGAGCGGATAAGTGAGAGTTGATGTTTGTCTACTGGCTAGTTTGGTGTTAACCTACTGGCTGGCTAGTTTGGTGTTAACCTACTGGCTGGCTAGTTTGGTGTTAACCTACTGGCTGGCTAGTTTGGTGTTAACCTACTGGCTGGCTAGTTTGGTGTTAACCTACTGGCTGGCTAGTTTGGTGTTAACCTACTGGCTGGCTAGTTTGGTGTTAACCTACTGGTTGGCTAGTTTAGTGTTAACCTACTGGCTGGCTAGTTTGGTGTTCACCTACTGTTTGGTTTGGTTGTTCACCTACTGACTAGTTTGGTTGTTACTTATCTATTAGCTAGTTTGGCGTTCATTTGCTGGCTAGTTTAGTGTTCATCTACTTGCTAGTGTTGTTGTTCACCTTGCTAGTTTGTTCATGCATTTACTCGCGTGTCTTTATGTATTTACGTGATTATGTGCGCAGGGGTCGAGTCATAGCTCCTGGTCCCAGCTCTTAATTCTTATCGGTGAGGTCTGTGTGGTGTTTGTCTGCACATCTTCATCTGGTGAATTTCACTAAGACTCCAGTGGTACCTTCTAACAATGGTTAGTTGCCTGGTAGGCAAAGCTCTCGCTTCACACGCTGAGGGTTCGGGTTCGATTCCCGGCAAGGGTGAAAACATTGGGCATGTTTCCTTATACCCGTTGTCCCTGTTCACCCACCAGTAAAATGGGTACCTTGGTGTTAATGGACTGGTGTGGGTCGCATCCCGGGACAAAATTGACCTAATTTTCCTGAAATGCTCTGCATAAGAAGCGGCTTTCTGTATAGTAGTACATCATTGATATCAGCTAGGACTGTATACCTGGTACATGTACTTGTAGAAATAAAAATATTATAATGGTACTTTCTACTGATGTTACTGTCTAACAGTGGTACTTTTTAACAAAGGTACTTTCTAAAAATGGTACTTTCTAACAATGGTACTTTCTAGCAATGGTGCTTTCTAACGTTCCTAATATTTACCTACAACTTTAGTTGTCATGACTGTCCCCAGGCTCACTCCTTGTATCTCAGGCTTCACTTCTGAGTGTTGTATATGTAGTGAGCATGTCACTCATCGTCCTTCTTAATTCTGGTATTGTAGTCATGTCACTCATTACCCTCCTTAATTCTGGTATTGTAGTGATCATGTCACTCATTACCCTCCTTAATTCTGGTATTGTAGTCATCATGCCACTCATCGTCCTCCTTAATTCTGGTATTGTAGTCATGTCACTCATCGTCCTCCTTAATTCTGGTATTGTAGTCATCATGTCACTCATCGTCCTCCTTAATTCTGGTATTGTAGTCATCATGTCACTCATCGTCCTCCTTAATTCTGGTATTGTAGTCATGTCACTCATTACCCTCCTTAATTCTGGTATTGTAGTCATCATGTCACTCATCGTCCTCCTTAATTCTGGTATTGTAGTCATCATGTCACTCATCGTCCTCCTTAATTCTGGTATTATAGTGATCATGTCACTCATTACCCTCCTTAATTCTGGTATTGTAGTGATCATGTCACTCATTACCCTCCTTAATTCTGGTATTATAGTGATCATGTCACTCATTACCCTCCTTAATTCTGGTATTGTAGTGATCATGTCACTCATTACCCTCCTTAATTCTGGTATTGTAGTGATCATGTCACTCATTACCCTCCTTAATTCTGGTATTGTAGTGATCATGTCACTCATTACCCTCCTTAATTCTGGTATTGTAGCGATCATGTCACTCACTAATTTCAGCCTCCACCTTCCGGGGCCTAAGTTCCGGCGACAGTCTCGTTGCAGAACTTTGGATCATATTTGGTATGTTGGTATGGTTCATCAGGTGTAGGTTCCATGGTGGCGCCACATACTCCATGGAGGCGCCACATACTCCATGGTGGCGCCACATACTCCATGGTGGCGCCACATACTCCAAGACAGAACTGGAGTACGTTGTGTAACCTCCTAAATGTATCTGCGTTCAGGTTCCTGAAGGGGAAAAGTCTATCATGTAAAAAAAAAAATATGAGAAGAGACGACTTTTTTATTTTATTTAAAAAATAGTGCATAATTTAAAGAATATTTTGGTGTTTAAATTTTCTTTCTATGATTTTTCTAAGACGAGTTATCGGAAATGACGAAATTCTTTGCAATATAATTTCCTGTCAAAAATCTTAGCATATTTTAAGATATTTTTTGTGTTTTGTTAATAGTTCTTAGATTATTATTTACTTTTCTATTTTTAGTGTATAAACTCATTATGCAAATGAGGTTCAGTGGGCAATTAGAATAAAAATTTAGGTATTTAAAGAGATAAAACAAGTTTTTGTTTGGATCGGGAGATTATCTGGGAAGTTATTAAGTTATTTGTATGTCTAACTTTATTATGTATGAAGAATCATAATAAACATTTGCTATATTATACAAGTTATTGAACCCCATGTTGCCCCCCTCAAGGGTTCCTTGACACTGGTGAGGGGCTCTTGATCTAGGGAATTGGGTCTGTGCTTCGGTTCCTTGAATTGAACCTGAGTACCTTCCCCCCCCCCACGTGCTGTATAATCCTACGGGTTTAGCGCTCCCCCATGATTATAAAATTAATCCCATGTTGTCACTTCCCTTTAAATCACCACTCAAGTATTTTATTATTTTTTTTTTATAGAAAAACCGAAAAAAAAAAATAATCAAATTTTTCAGATTGAAAAGAACAAGACGATGCAGTATCTTACTTTTTACAACCTGGAAAACTTAAGTAAACCAGTGTTGGTGAGGGGCTCTTGATTTAGGGAATTGGAACTGTGCTCCAGTTCCCCGAATTAAGCCTGAATGCCTTCCACATACCCCCCCCCCCCGGGCGCTGTATAATCCTACGGGTTTAGCGCTTCCCCTTTGATTATAATAATAATAATAATAATTTAGTAAACCAGTTTAAATGGTGCACATGTCGTGTGGGGTTCGGTAAGGAGATAAGAAGATTGAAGGTAGACACACTTGTTGGATGGTAACGATATATATATTGTCAGACTGTGGTAATGGGAGATGGGGGGAGCCCCGCCTGCAGTGTCCTGCCTTCTACTATGCCTATGCGTCGACTGAGGCCGAGGTAGCTCGTCTCACTCGCTCGCTGCATCCCGTGACGTCATACAGTCACAGGCCTAAGGGATCTTCTATATAAAGCACATGGATGGTACTATGATACTCTATACAACACATATAAGGGGCCCGGTGGCCTGGTGGCTAAAGCTCCCGCTTCACACACGGAGGGCCCGGGTTCGATTCCCGGCGGGTGGAAACATTTCGACACGTTTCCTTACACCTGTTGTCCTGTTCACCTAGCAGCAAATAGGTACCTGGGTGTTAGTCGACTGGTGTGGGTCGCATCCTGGGGGACAAGATTAAGGACCCCAATGGAAATAAGTTACAGTCCTAGATGACGCACTGATTTTCTTGGGTTATCCTGGGTGGCTAACCCTCCGGGGTTAAAAATCCGAACGAAATCTTATCTTATCTTAGCAACTATGCTGACACACACTGGCCTGCAACACTCTTGCAGTGTTCAGTTTTCCAGAGTACATCCGCCGCTCTTACCTTACCTGAGCTAATTTTTTTTTATTTTTTTTTCAGGGCTGTCACCATGAAAGTTTTATAATGTTATATTTCATTATAGATACGTTTTTCAGTATGTAAAAATGCACAGATAATCCGCACTTAGGTGAGTGAAACGTATGACGATGTTTCTGTCCAACTTGGACACTATTACTACGTTTCTGTCCAACTTGGACACTATTACAACGTTTCTGTCCAACTTGGACACTGTTACAACGTTTCTGTCCAACTTGGACACTATTACAACGTTTCTGTCCAACTTGGACACTATTACAACGTTTCTGTCCAACTTGGACACTGTTACAATGTTTCTGCTTTGTCTGCTTTCTTGAAGAGAGCCAGGGGTTGTTGATCACCTCATGCACAATATACCTTTACCTTTGATATATACCTTTGATGGGCTCCAAGAGTTTTTCTATTCCTGGAGCCCGACCATTGGCCAGGCTCGTCTGGTATTTGCCTGGCCAACCAGGCTCTTGCTGCTGGTAGCTTTCTGACCCAGCGGTTTTGGTCCCTTATAAGGCTCATCCTCAGTCTTCAGATTTATCTGTTTATGATTTGATAAAGCCTACTGTGTGGGCGAAACGTTTTTATTAAAGGATTACATTACACAAATAACCCGCACATAGAAGAGACACTGGTTGTGACTTTGTAAATGGTCCAAGTCGGACCGAAACGTCGTCGCAAGCTCCTCTCTCCTATGTGCCGGTTATTTGTGTATTATTGCAGCCACGGTATTATGCCTTTTCGATATTTAAAGGATTACATTATACTGTATTTGTATCTTCATTTTCCATCGTGTCCGTATTTTATACTATTTATCTTCCAAGATACTTCTTAGGATGTAGCTAATAATATTAATGAATAGGCATGATTCATCTATCGTATTAACAGTATTGGAATGATTTTTTTTACGTTGGCTGATGGTGGGGTTCTTTTGCTCTTATTTCAGGTCCGATGCCAGGATGGGGTCGGTCTGGAAGCGGTTCCAGCGCATCAACAAAAAAGCTGCCAAATTCCAGTTTACAGCTTCCTACCATGAACTAGCCCTCACTGCCACTGCTAAATGGTACGTCCAAGTTAGTCTTCCTTGCACTTGACTACTACTACTACTACTACTACTACTACTACTACTACTACTACTACTACTACTACTACTACTACTACTACACTGCTCACGCAACAAGTTGTGATTGTACATAATGGTTTAGTGGTATAGTTGTGGATTTGCAGTGTAAGGCTTCAGTTTGGTTTCTAGCAAGGTTACCAGTTTGGTTCCTAGCAAGGTTACCAGTTCGGTCCTAGTAAGACCAGCTCGGTCCTAGCAAGACCAACAGTTCGGTCCTAGCAAGACCACTATATCAGTCCTAGCAAGATCAGTTCGGTCCTAGCAAGACCGCCAGTTCGGTCCTTGCAAGACCAAGACTACCAGTTCGATCCTAGCAAGACCAGTTCGGTCCTAGCAAGACCACCAGTTCGGTCCTAGCAAGACCACCAGTTCGGACCTAGCAGGACCACCAGTTCGGTCCTAGCAAGACCACTAGCTAATGCTGGATTTTGCTCTGATTGCTACAACTTTCGTGGTATATTTATCAAAAAGTTGCAAAGCCATTTACCTACTTTCCCCCATTATACTTATTGTCCTCATTTTATGTGCAGTCGCTCTATAATCGCAGTTGTTAAATGCCTTAGCTAAATCTGTATATACCACATCTGCGTTTTGGTTTTCTTTCAAAGCTTGAGTAATTTTCTCAGAGTTTAGTAACTGTGAGACGCATAACCTTCCCGCTATAAGTTCACGCTGATTTGGGCTCTGGAGGTTCTGGTCTTTCATAAAGTTTGTAATTTAGCGTCTCATCATTCTTTCAAAGCCTCTTATGATGTGCGATGATAGGGTTACTAGTCTGTATTTTTGGTTGGTGCTCTATTACCTCCTTTATACAAAGGATATATATCTGCGTTCTTTAACGTCTGGTGAGTAAGACTCATGTGTACAACAGTCGGGTATCTTTAAGGGGCACGTCAGTTCCCCTGTTTTCTAATAATGTTATTTTTTTCCCCTATAATCTACCTTGTCCATAATTACTATCGCATTTGCTTTGTCTGCTTTCGTAAGGTGAAGTCCAGGATCGTTCCTTAATTCCTGGCATAACTTAACAAATCTTTGGGGAAATTGTGTTGCAAAGGTGTGAGCTTCTAGCATTCATTTTCATTATTTACTTCTCTCTAATTTTATTCCTAATGCTAGACACAGATATACCAAAGTTATATTCTACATTCTCCTTCAGGGTACTCTTCTTGGCTAACATATTAACTTTATCATGAAGGAGTAATCCAATGTGTGATGGGATCCATAGCAATTGTACATTAATTCCCTTTTCCCGGATATGTGAGTATCTATACCTGGCTTCTCCAATGAGCATGTTGTTCGAGTCATTATATGAGTCAAGAGCCTTCAGTGAGACATAGAATCAGTAATATGATATAGTCAAGCTCAGTGTCATTAGGATTGCAAACAATTCAGTTTGCAGTGTAGTTGCCCAGTTGTTAATTCTTATGCCTAACTCAGCAAATTTATTATGTTCTTAACAAGGGAGGTGGCAACAAGAGCAGATGCAGCCCTGCCAGGAGACTCCTGTTTAGATCCATCAGTGTATATAACTTGTGATAACTTATTACTACAGCTAGGCGAGAAATTTCTTCTTGAGCAGTTGCTTTAACAAGTGAGATAAGGAAGGGATTACTAGCAGTGAGCTTCTTGGGAGGGACTTGCAGGTATGTGATATTAAATGAACACATCTTCTATGGAGGGGTGAAATGCTCTTGTTGCCTACAGTGATACAGTTCATGCAGGTTATAAAACTTAATATAATTGCATGTTTTTATAATCCATTTAAATCTGTGTGTATTTACTTCTAGACATTTAGTAAGGCTCATACTGACAGTGTCTGGTTCATTTCTTAACATTCTAATGCCGAGTACAGTGTTAATCTCAATAATCCTATCACTGATACTAGAAATACCAAGCTCCTTCCTCATGTTAAGAAACATTGTAGGTTTGGGATAATCAACAATAATTCTGAGAGCTTCATTCTGCATTAACTCCAAGGGTCAGAGAGAACTTTCCCTAGCTAATATCAACATGGGAGCAGCATAATCAATTAAGGACCTAACAATGGCTATGTACATCATTCTCACGATTCCCACATTAGCACCACAGTTGGGGTTATAGCCAGCAACAGCTTTGCGAACATTTAGATTATCTTTGCATTTCTTATTTAGTTGTGGTATGGTAGATTTATTAAAGGGTACATCTACATCAAGGTATCTGTAAGATTTAACGTAACTAATGTTTCCACCCAGCAGACAGATGAGTGGTGGATGTAGTTTGCTTGTCAATATCTTGTTTTATAGGAAGATATGAGGCCTAATCGATTACAAATTGCTTGAACTTCTTTAAGAATGGTACTCATCATCTTATGTCCTGTTGTACAGATCATGATGTCATCGGTATAGCTTATAGCTATATGTTTAGGTGAGGCAGTGAGAGCATTTAGGAGAGCATTAATCAGAACATTAAATAGCATGGACTGAGAACTCCTCCCTGCGGTGTACTTAAGGGACATTTCTTTACATTCGCTTCTAAAGCCTTGATGGAGGACAGATGATACTCTGTATGACAGGTATCCTATTATCCAGCAGGGTAAACTACCACCAATATTAGTTTTGGCTAGTTCATGTAGTATAACGGTCCTGTTTGCAGTATCAGATGTAGATTTTAGATCAAGAAATGTGGGAAAACTAGTAGAGATGTGCGTGCAGTGAGAAAGGTGGAAATACAATTCTGCACACTTTTACCTTTCATGAACCCATAGAGGTAGGGGGAAAGTTGGTGTCTGATCCTGTAGTACAGTCTGTTAAGTATCATTCTTTCAAAATTTTACAAAGACAACTAGTTAAGGAGATCGGTCTAATGTATCAGGCTGTTGTGACTTAGGGATAGGCACAATGAGACTATTGGTCCAGGAAGTAGGAAGAACACCCTCAATGTAACAGAGTATACATTGCTAACAAAGGGTTATCAGGCACGTGCCTTAGAGTTCTGAGGATATCATAGGTTATACCATCCTCTCCAGGAGCGGTGAGGATGGTATAACCTATGATATCCTCAGAACTCTCAGGCACGTGCCTGATAACCCTTTGTTAGCACTTTATAATCTCAGTTACAGTGAGGGTGCTCTTTTTACTTCCTGGACCATAAAATTTTCTCTTATACGTTTAAAGATATACTTTTTTTCATTTCTGTTAATGTAAAAATTACTAATTTTGTACCAAAAGAGCCTTAGAAAACTTACCTAACGTTATTATAACAAGCTCAATTTAATTTCGCCTAATCCAACTAAATATATTTTAGATAAGTTTACAATAATTTAATAATAAACAAATACAATGAAATATATGTTTTTTCGTTAAGTTCAGAAGGATTTTTGTGAAATTATTGCATACACAAATTTTCACTTACCTTATTCGGCAAGAAGAACATTGCTATTTAAGCAAAAATCGCAAGTTTTACCTATTCGGCACAACATATATATGGAAAACGGGAAGAACTCAATGGGACACTCGTGTATAAAATGCAAGAAGCTCACCAAATAGAACGAAAAGAAATTGCTAGGGATCTGGGTATAATAATGTCAGCTGACCTGTCTTGAAAGGTACACAATAAGACAAACGTCATGACAGCCAGGAAAATAGCGAGGCTGGTAACGAGAACTTTCAGAACAAGGGTAATAGTGCCAATGGCGACACGCTTTTTTTTTAAATCACTTGTGCTCTCTCTCTTAAAATATGGGTCCATTCATGGGAGGAGAGATATCAGAGCTGGAACAGATTCAGAGATCATTTATGACCCACATAGAGCCAGTAAAGCATTTAAATAACTGGGAACGCCCCTAAGTTATAAATACATGTATGCACTCATTGGAGCGGAGGGCAGATGCATGATAATACATACCTGGAAAGTACGTGAGGATTTAATCCCAAACCTGCAAACTGACATTAAAACATATGGCAGCGAGAAATACGGGAGGAAATGTAAAATGAACCCAGTGAAAAGCACGGGCACCTAGGACACAATGAGGGAATATTGTAGCAACATCCATGGACCCAGATTGTTCGCGCTCTACCATAGGATATCAGAAGCACTGCCGGAACAAGTGTAGAATTTTTCAAGGGGAAACTGGACAAGTATCCCATTCATGTGCCTGATCAACCAAGCTATGATGGATATGTGGACCAGCGGGCCGCCAGCACCAACAGTCTGTTTGATTGGGTAGGTACAAAACAAGTCTGACCCAGAGCAGGGCTCCGGGTGTAAGACACCTTTCAAAGGTATATCATGGGCACATTATCCTGTGTTACATTATATTGCATTACAGTTCCTTATATTACATATTACATTGCAGTCCCTTGTATTACATTATATTACATTAGCCTCTTTTACTTCACATTGCCCTGTGTTACATTGCATTACATTCTATTGGCCTTTGTTACGTTATATCACATTATCGTGTGTTACGTTACATTATATTATCGTGTGTTACATAACATTGCGCCTCCTTGTGTTACATTATATTACATGTGTATATTATGTCGGTTACGTGCTCGGGGGATGGGGGGGGGGTTGTCTCCCCCAGCAGGAAGTGGAGGGCAGCAGGTCGGCTTCGTCTCCCCAACTCATCTTTAGGTAACACTGCTGCTGAGCTGCTACTATGTGTGCCTGGACACTTGTAGCTGCTTAGGTGTACCTGCGGCTACTTGTGGCTATTTAGGTGTACCTGCGGCTACTTGGGTGTACTTACAGGTACTTATGTGCCTGAGTATCAGTTACGTGCACCTATTTGTGCAGTAGCACATAGAATGAGGTCAGGTGGTATAACGGGAAGAGTAGACAGATAATTATTCAATTTTCTGATAAACAGAATACAATGAATGTAAACAAGACAAAATCTAGTCTTAGCAGTGTAAAAACTGAGTAATCCAAGGCACGGTCCTGGCACCTTTACTGTT